TTCCACTCTGCTCCACTCCATTCCATTCCATTCCATTCTATTCTATCCTGTTCTGTTCCATTCTCTTCTACCAAACAAAGAAATCAACGTTCATTTGTTCTGGGTTACACAATTCCCCTCATTAATTAGTGCTCTGTCCTTCACTGGCTAATTTGCTCTGTATTCTTTGCTCCCCTTATCCTCAGACAGCGAGTCTCCGACTCTCGGGCTCTGATGTCTTTGCTAATCCCCTCTGTATCTCCTGATTACTCCACCATCTCTCTGAATGGCCACGAATTTAAGATCCCAGATGTCCAATCTTCAGCTGCCTCAAGCCTTGTCTGCTGAAGCCCCTCAGAGCCACTCCAGAGAGACTCAAAGGTTCAGTGGTTTAAAGATCAAACCAGCAGGAGCCTGCAGAACCAAACCCAGGCACTTGCTGCCATGGGTTAAAATGTAGGGAAGTTCTATCATTTCCAACAAAGCCAGGGGGATTTTTTTGACCAAGTTTGGCTCCACAGAATCGTAACTGGAGCAGTGATTTCCCAGAGGGAATGGCCCGGGCTCCTCCCCTTGGCCCCCAGCCAGCACTCACCGTCCAGTTGATGATGAGCTCGTTGGGAGCCCCTCCACCGCCGCCGAGCCCAGATGGTGCCACAGTGGGTGCTGTCAGGTCCCCAAACAAAGCAGACAGCACAGGTTGGGTTAAGGGGGTGGCAGTGATGGAGACTTTAAGGGGGTGGCAGTGATGGAGCCGGGCACAGACACGGCACGTCACAGGTGGGGACAGCTCCTGGGGAGGGGCTGCTCTCTTTGTTTTTACCCGTGGAAATCAGGTCTGGAACACCGGCTTGTGCCTGCCCAGCTCACCTCTGAGGGGACAGGGATGAAGCTCAAAGGCAGGGATGTGGAGAGGAGTTTTTATTGGAAAGGAGTTAACTTTGCATTTGGCACACTGAGAGCAGTTCTGCTGCTCTTCCAGCCCTCGTGACAGCACCTTCAGGCAGCCAGGGATGGGATGAACATTCCCAGCTCTTTGCTGGGAAATCTACCTTGTTCTTGCAGAGCTGTGCTCTGTGATACAACAGCTCTTTCCCCTTCCTTGCCTTGCTGCCCAGAAGGTTTGAAGGCAGGGGTTATAATGCCAGGGTTTATAATGTTCATATGCTGGCCCTAATGCCAGGGAAGTCACTGCCAGCTCTGCCACTGCTTCACATTTGCCATGGAAATGGGCAGAGAGGCAGAAAATCCTGTGATGGCCTCACCTCCAGGAGCACTCGAGGGGATGATTAATCCTTTGGGACCAAGCCAGCCTTCCCCCTCCAGCAGGCAGGGACAGATCCCTCAGGTTCACACCTACCTGCTTCCTTGGTGCGGATTTTGCTGGAGGGCAAACTCGGCTCCCCCACTCCCAGGATGTTACTGGCCAGGACCCGGAACTCGTAATCCATCCAAGGGATGAGGTTCACCACCTGGGCTGTCTCTGCATTGCCTTCAATGTTTACAGGATCTATATCATCCAATAACACCAGAGGAGGGCGAATAGAGCGAGTGGCAGCACAGAGCAAGGGCTCACCAGTGCCTGGTGGCCCTCGAGGGCCGTGTCCCCAGTGCTGCCATCGAGACACTTACTGGTCCTCATCTGCTTCCACTTGCTGGAGAGGAGGGTCCTGGCCTCGATGAGGTACCTGGCGATGGGGCTGTGGTTGTCAAAGCCACGGCTCCAGCTCAGCTGGACGCTGGTGTCACTGATGTCTCTCACCACCACCCCCCCGGGGGGGCCTGGAGGCCCTGGGAGACAAAGGGACGTGTTACTCAGATCAAACATTTGGAGCTTCTTTGTGTCGTGTGGGTCATAAACTGACATCAGGCCTTTCTTTTCTGGAGGCTGGGAGGCCTCACCTCCAGTTTTTACCCTCCAGAAAAAGCTCCTTTCAAATCTCACAGAATCACTAAGGTTGGGAAAAGACCTCCAAGGTCATCAAGCCCAACCTCTGACCGAAACCCACCCCGCCCATTAAGCTGTGTCACGAAGCTCAGCTATCAGACGGTGGGGTGGCTGCAAGGGAAGGGCAAACTGATCCCTTGCAAGGGCCATGCCACCACTTAGGGGCCTGTGAGGGGCAGGGAGGCTCCTGGCAGGGCAGTTACCCCTGACGGTGAGCGTGGCCGACTCCGAGGCGCTGTCCACCACGGTCTGGGCCGTGCACGTGTAACGCCCCGAGTGCCTCAGCTGTGCGTTGGAGATGCTCAGGTCCCCGATGGCTTCCTTCTGCAGGGGAGAGAGAACAGGCACTGGGGAGGGTGTTTGAGCCCCATCACAGGTCAGAGTTGGTGGTTTGGGTTTGCAAAGCTGGGGTTTGGTGGTGAGGGGGGTGTGGAAGTGGGATCTGTGAGGAGCTGCTGGAGGATTCCCCCGTGTGTGATGGAGCCCCAGGGCCAGCTGGCCCCAAGAGGGACCCACTGCTGGCCAAGGCTGAGCCCATCAGGTGGCTTGGGCTGAGTCTGTTTTGCTCATGGTGGTGATCACTGAGTGACCTGAGCGACCTGAGTGATCCCTGAGTGATCTGAGTGACCTCTGAGTGATCCCTGAGTGATCCCTGAGTGACCTCTGAGTGATCTGAGTGATCGCTGAGTGATCCCTGAGTGACCTCTGAGTGACCTGAGTGACCTCTGAGTGATCTGAGTGACCTCTGAGTGACCTCTGAGTGACCTGAGTGACCTCTGAGTGACCTCTGAGTGATCTCTGAGTGATCCCTGAGTGACCTCTGGGTGATCTGAGTGATCCCTGAGTGATCCCTGAGTGACCTCTGAGTGACCTGAGTGACCTCTGAGTGATCCCTGAGTGATCCCTGAGTGATCCCTGAGTGATCCCTGCCTGCCCTTATCTCGACCCACGAGCCTTCCCCTCTCCCTCGTCCAGCTGAGGAGGGAAGTGATCACAGAATCACGGGATGGTTGGGGTTGGAAGGGACCACAAAGATCATCTCATCCCACCCCTGCCACAGGCAGGGACACCTCCCACTGTCCCAGCTCGCTCCATCCCACCTGGCCTCGGACACTCGCAGAGATTTGGAGTTCAGCCCCCCACAGACACACAACCAAGGAGGCTGGCACTAATTCCCTGTCCCTTCTGGTGGCACAGGAGTGCCCTGTGCCCTCACCACGCTGGCTCGCCGGTAGTGCCCCTCGGACTTGTCGAAGTCGATGGGGAAATCGTCCAGGGCCCAGGTGAAGGTGAGGTCCATGGTGGGGTCGTGGGACGCGTGGCACTGCAGGGTGAGGTTCTCCCCCACGTTGATGTCAGCGCTGGATGGGGCCAGGGTGATCTTGGTGGCATCTGCAGAGAAAGAGCAGGGAGGGGCTGTCAGCTGAGAACGTCCATGTGCCAGTACCCCAACCAACCAACACCTTCCAGCTCGTCCTCCCTCTGGACTCTGACAGGAGGAAGGGAGGGATTGCGGTCCTTAGAGAAGGGAAGTGCTTTTCTCCGGGTTGGTGGGGGATGTGGGGGATCAGCAGAAGGTTTTGCTGCCCCACAGACTGAGATTACTTTGATTCCCCGAGTACTGCATTGCTTTTGGGGTGTAAGGACAGGAGAAATATCCCATCAGTCATTCTTAGACGTTTCTTGCTCGACTGACCCCAAACCAAGGCAAACAGCTCTACCTCGAACAGAGAGGATCCCAGTGCTGTTGGCTTTGCCCATGAAATTCTCAGCAAAGCAGGTGTATTTTCCCTCATCAGATTTGCTGATGTTCTGGAGGATCAAGGTGCCATCTGCAGTAATAGTCACCCTGGAGAGGGAGAGGAACCACACAAGAGGAAGGTTAACAATGGCTGTTCACTCCCTACCCCTGGTAATTTCCAGCACTTGCTGCTTTTAGAGAAAATCAGAGATAAAAAAGACAGACAGAGAAATATCATGTTTTCTAAAGAAGAAATCAGAGGAACAACAAAGCTCAGGGACGGAGCAGCACATTTGGGTCATCAAGTCCAGTCTTCTGGCAAGAAAAAAAAAAAGTGATTTTTAGCTACAGTTTCTAGGCAGAAGCTGAGTCTGTGCTGCTACCTGCTGCTGTTGACCAGAAGCTCAGTCCCCTTGGTCCAGAGCACAGTGGCTTTGGGTGCTGCTCGTGGCTGGCAGGGGATGATGACCTTCCCACTCCGGGCTGCCGGGATCAGCCGCTTCACTGGGCTTAGTCTAAAATCTGGTGCTAAGGCTACAGGGGGGAAAAAACAGGATTAAGGACTGGTCAGAACCCCCTGCTCTGGGGGCCTTTGAAGTGCCAAATGACTGGGTATTGATCTGTTGTTGGATGGCTTGGTAAGAGAAGCGAGGCAGTATCTGGAGAGCGGGATGAAAGGAGTGGTTCCTCTGCTGCTGGGTGGGTTCTAACACCTGCCAGGGCAGGTGTTGGGTGACACACCTGAGGCAGGTGTCGTGTGCCACACCTGTTTACACAGCAGTGGGAATGGCCCTAACAAGTGCAAGGTCTTGGAGAGACACAAGAACAGCTGCTTTGGAACATGTCGAGGATATTCTCTTCAATATCCTGCCCGAAGTCCCCAGCACAGACATCCAGCTTGCCTAAAACTCCTTCTGGGACTGCAGAGAGAATTGGGATTTACCTGTTGCCCTCAGTGTCTTAATGTTGAGCTCAGGGCCTTTAATTTATCTTTGGAATCTCCTGACCACGAGGAGATGAACTTTTAGACCACTGTGGAACAGGTTGAGCATCAGTTCAGCTCCAGTCACCATCCATCAAGACAGGCTGAATGGATGCTGAACTCTTGGGGTTTTGACCTTTTTCCTCCAAAAAAGAGGAGCTTGTAGTGGAAGAGAATTTGCAGTGCTGCTGCTGGGTGTCCTGTACGCTCTCTGTGGCTAAACAGATGTCCTTGTTCTCTTTCAGAGTTACTGAATTTACACAGGATTTAGATTTTTAAAGGGTTGCAGAGTGTCTTATTGGACCAGCAGCTACATTTCAATGGTGAGTGAAGCAGTTTTTGTCTGCTCCCATCTTTAATCTGGGATCGCGAGCATCGGGACGAGTCTAAAATGCTTCAGTGTCCCATTGAAACCCAGAGCTCTGGGAAGGGAGGAATTACCTTGCACTGTTAATTCAGCACTTGCATAAACTGTGCCATGCTTGTTCTCAGCCACACACTGATACATGCCAGAGTCCTCCAGGACTAGCTTGGAAAATCTCAGCTCTCCACCGCTCACTTCGATGCGGTTCTGTGCAAACAAGAGGATGAACCCATTAGATGAGAAAAAAACCAAAAATGGAACTCAATCCTCGGGTGGCCAGGGTTGAGTTTCATTGCAGACTCTTCGGAGCCAGCCTGGTTTTCCACGGGGGAAAACTCAGGGTGTGTTTTTGTGGCCGTCCAGCCTCTCCCCCACGTCGCCGTGCTCTGCTCGCTGAGACTGCCCGGGCAGCACCGTGCAGGTCACACCAAGGCAGGTATTTCTCTGCCCTGGAAACTGGCTGTGAGGCCCTGCAGTTGCACAAAGCAATGGCTGGGATGGCAGTGCCAGCAGGGGGAACTTGGGATCGTGGCAGTTGCTTTGCAGCCTCATGGGGGCACATGGAAGGGGGATGCGGGGTGAGGAACGGGCTGGAGATGCGTTTGCAGCGAGGCAGGAGAAGGGGCTGAGTCTGGAGGAGCAGGGTCGGTGCTGGGGGGTGCTGGGGGGTGCTGGGGGGGCTGTCAGGGGTACCTGGGAGCTCAGGGGCTGCCCGTCCCGGAGCCACCTGACCGTGGGCCGGGGTTTGCCGGCGGCCGCGCAGCTCCAGCGCAGGTCGGACCCGATGTCGGCCTCCGTGTCCGAGATGACCTTCAGCCACTCGGGCTGGGCTGTGAGAGAGGGGACAGAGCAGGAGCTCAGCTCGGGGGGCAGTGCTGCCAGGCAGGCAGCAGGATGCCCGTGGCACATGGGTTGGCACAGCAGGAGCAGCCTCATGCTCCTGTGAGTGAGGCAGAGCTGGGTCCTGCAGGGCTGCGGCTGCTGCTCTGCACTGGCTGCACTGGATGGACCCACAGCCAAGGGGGAACTTGGGGGGTTCTCTCCCCAAGAGTTAATGCAGCCACTCCTGAACTGTGGAGTCATGGAATCCCAGACTGGGGCACCTTCCACTAGCCCAGGTTGCTCCAAATTATCCAGCCTGACCCTGGGCACTTCCAGGGATGGGGCAGCCACAGCTTCTCTGGGCAACCTGTGCCAGGGCCTCCCCACCCTCCCAGGGAAGAATTCCTTCCCAATATCCCACCCAAACCTGCCCTCCTTCAGCCTTAGGCCATTCCTGAACTTCAGGATAAGAGGCAGGATTCGAGGTGGTGGTTTTGCTCCCAAAACCTCACTTTGTGCCCAGGGCACCTTGCTGTGCTCTGCAAAGGCACATATTTAAGTGAAAGACCCGTGTTTGAGGGTGTTCCCTCGGGTGAACACACTCCCAGGGGTTACCTTGGATGATGATCCGGCCCTGGTGGGTGTCTCTGCCTTTGATGTTCTCAGCCTCGCACTCGTAGGTGCCCTCGTCCTCGAAGCCAACATCCTGGATCTGCAGGAGGGGCTCGCTGCCGATCCACTTGGAGGACTGGGAGCCATCCAGCTTCCTCCACTTTATCTGGGGGACAGGGCTGTGGAAAAGCCAGGCTGGTGAACCTGGGTGACCCCACAGCTCAGAGCAACCCCGTCCCCACATCCCCTGGGTGCCCTCCCAGCCAGCAGGACAGACGGCTGGAGCCACTTCCCCTTTCCCACTCTCCCTCCCTCTCTGGCCTTCACCAGGGCCCTTGGAGAGAGGGGGGGTGAGGCTGCAGGTTCTGCCACTCCTTCCCCATCCCGAGCCCGAGTGACACGGACGCTGCACTCACTTCCCAAAGGCAAAGCACTCCAGAGTCACCGCCTGCCCTGCCAGGGCGTAGGTGTCTGCAGGGAACCTGGCCTTGATGCTGGGGGCGAACTGCCGGGCATCTGTCAGGGGGAAAACACGGTGAGGAGCCCTGGAGGACTTCAAAATATCCTGGAGGGCTCCAAAACGTCCTGGAGGACTCCAAAATATCCTGGAGGACTCCAAAATGCCACCTAGGAGGGGAGGTCTCAAAGGGCAGAGGGACCCGCAGGGTGACACGACTTTCCCAGACCTCTGTGTGGGCAGAGGTTTCATTTGCTTCTCACAACAGTCTCTAAAAATCTCTTTACAGCATCTCAGGGCTATTTCTCCTTGATTTCCTAGAGCCACAGAATCCTACAATGGTTTGAGTTGGAAGGGACCTTAAAGCTCATCCAGTTCCACCTGCCCTGGGCAGGGAATCTCCCACTAGCCCAGGCTGCTCCAAGCCCATCCATCCAGGCCTTCCTACCTGTTTAACCCCCTTTCCCCCGCCCCAGAAGCATTTTTTAAAGACAGAGAACCCCCCCTGGCTGAGGTTTGGGAGGGCTGCCTCCCCCCCATTCCAGCCAATCCATATTTTTACGAGCTCTTAAGCTCCCCTGAGAGGCTGCTGGGTGACTTGGGCACCGCTGGTGTCCCGTGGAGTGGCTTAATTTTGCCTTTCCCCCCCAATAATTGGCATTATCCCGCTGATCCCAGAGCACTGGTCCAAGGGCACTGACCCTCTGCCGCCAGGCTGAGCCGGGAGAACTTGCTGAAGACGCTCTTGGTGATGAAGTCGATGTGGCTGGTGGCAAAGCAGGAGTAGTTGCCCAGGTCAGAGGCCTCTGTCTTGGCAATGTAGAGGTTTCCCGTGGTCTGGGAGACGAAACGTCTCCCGTCGGCCGGGATGAAATTGGGGAACTCGTTCAGGAGCCACCGATAGGATAAACCTGGGGCAGAGGGGAGAGGAGTGAGCTGCAGGGCCTGTCTGGGTCCTCCTGGGAGGGGTGAACCCAGACCAGTCCTTGGAGCTGGTCCTTGTGTGGACACGCCAAGTCCTGCCTCTGCTTTGCTGCTGAATAAACCTCAGATTCCCTTCCCTAAAATTCCCAAGGAAAGGCAGGGAGAGGGATTCCCCTGCCTGGGAATGCCTTGCTCTGTCGTGTGGAGATGTGGAGGTGCCAGAGCCTTACCTGGGTAGTGGGGGGGAGGGCTGCAGGCAAACATCACCCCCCAGCCCTCGGTGATCCTCACGGGGTCCCGCTCCTCCGCTGAGAATTCCTGCAAAACTGAAGGGGCACAGTGAAACCTGGACAGAGGAAAGCTGGAGGCATCACTGGGCTTTCTCTCTGGGTCTTCTCAGTGGTTGCACAGAGGGAGATCCCGAAGGATTATTGGCTTTCTCTGTAGCACAATAAATTTCCATGGCACGCCTGTGGAAGTGCCAGGGGGTTTCCCCGTGGGGTGGGGTTGGGTGCCATGGGCAGGAGAGCTGCTCTCCCACGTTTCTCCAGGTGAGCAGGGGGGCTCAGTTGGCCCCCAGCTGCATTTCCTTTACCCTGGGGAGGCAAACTTACAGCCAAAGCGGAGGGAGGCCTCCCTGCTGACCACGGTGCCCCTGGAGTTGGATGCCAGGCACTGGTAGGATCCAGCATCCTTGGCTTTCATGGGGTTGCTGATCACCAGGTCCCCTGCAACCAGCCTGTAACGGGAGTCTGGCTCCACCTCAATGTCTGTGCCGTTCATCTTCCACCTGCCCAGAGCGAGAGGGGGGAGTGAGGGGGGAAATCCTCGTGGCCACACCCTGGGGGCCTCACAGGGGGCTGTGCTGGTTGGTGTTCCAGCTCTGCTGGGATTGGAGTTAGATTCCTATCCTGGCTGTGCCCTGGGAGAGATGGCACAGCACAGAGTCACTGAGGTTGGAAAATCCCTCCAGGATTGAGTCCAACCTGTCCCTGATCCCCACCTTGTCCCCCAGCCCAG